ATCGAAACCGACTCCAACGCTCACCAAGGTAAGGATAAGTCTTTAACTTATGCATTGTGTTAGAAAATGCGTGGATTTGATGGTTGTGGATAATGAATCAAGTTGTGAACAACTTATTTATTATAAACATATATGAGTATGTTTGTAATAAAAATGGCGTGGATTTACTGTTTATGAATTGATGGAGTGTCAATAAAAAGAAAACTCGTTTTTAGCCGACCATGACTGGTTAGCGACTTTGGCTCAAGCGATGTAGCAAGCTTTGGCTCAAGCGATGTCGCAAGCTTTGGCTCAAGCGATGTAGCAAGCTTTGGCTCAAGCGATGTAGCAAGCTTTGGCTCAAGCGATGTAGCAAGCTTTGGCTCAAGCGATGTAGCAAGCTTTGGCTCAAGCGATGTAGCAAGCTTTGGCTCAAGCGATGTAGCAAGCTTTGGCTCAAGCGATGTAGCAAGCTTTGGCTCAAGCGAAGTAGCAAGCTTTGGCTCAAGCGATGTAGCAAGCTTTGGCTCAAGCGATGTAGCAAGCTTTGGCTCATGCGATGTAGCAAGCTTTGGCTCAAGCGATGTAGCAAACTTTGGCTCAAGTTATGTAGCATGTTTTCAAAAATAAAAGGGAAACCTATTTTTAGCTACCTTTAAGTGGTGTAGCGGCTTTGGCTCAAGCGATGTAGCAAAATTTGGCTCAAGTTATGTAGCATGTTTTTCAAATATATAAATGGTTATATCGTTTTTAAGTATTTATGACTTTTAAACTACTTACTTATCCTTATTGAAATGTGGATTAACTTATATTGACATTTATTGAGTTAACGACTTACTTCTTTGTGTATTGTCAATGTTAATCCCATGGTAGGTACAAAGATGATTAGAGATGCTTGATTTGGAGTTTTAGAGATTTTGATGATTAAACTATATGATTCTATTTATTCTTGCACTACCTGAATATTTGATGACTTCGATTATGACTAAGGATATAAGAAATTTTGTAAACACTCGACTTGACATATGATGACAATATTATGGTATATATGCGAATTATGTTTTTCTCCAAATTGGAGTAGTCACTGTATGAACTGAAATTGAATGTTTAGGGTTATGAGATGATTAGTGTAATGGGTGTTTTAAAGATTAAAGAGTTGTATGTATGAAGAAGTATGGAAAATCAAGTAGAAAGGATTAAAATAAAATGAAAAATTTTCAATGGTAGAATTTGGGTCCTTACACATTTTAATGAACGATGTTGATATGCCACATTTAACAACACTTGCTTAAAAAATGGTTGTTTAATATCTTAGGCAAACATACAACAACATTTGCTTCAAAGAGCGTTGTTGAAGCTATATTCGCCTATCACCTTTAACAACGCTTGCTTAAAATAGCGTTGTTGATTATCTTTCGTCTAGTATTTAACAACGTTGTGCTAGGAAACACTGTTGAATGACCATTGTTAAACGTTGTTTGAGAAAGATATCAAAATAAAAAAGTGAAGGTTTCATTTTCAAAAAATCAAAAGTTACATATTAGGCTTAAGCATATGAAAATTATGATGATGACAAATATGGTGTCATTTATTCAAGTTGGTTTTCAAGAGTTGATGATGATGACATGATAAAAGCTACAAAACAAATTTACAATATTCGCCTGATTTTTTTTTTTTCAAAGTTCATGTTATATTATTATAACTTTTGCGAACTTATTGATATAATTTAGTAGCTCTACCAAAGTTAATTCTTAATTTGTTTTTTAAGAACTAGTCTAGTATACTTCACTAACTTCAATTTAAATACATGGAAGCAACATTGTACCATGATGATAAGAAGGTTAATATGTATGTTCCTAACACGTACAACAGAAAATAGTAGATCTATTTTGTGTTAAAATATGCATACTAGGTAACAATGAGATAAAAATATTTTATAAAAAATACATGGAGAGACTGGGATGGCTTCAGAAAACTTCTCCTTCAAAAGTATGATGTTCTTACACGTGTATCCACACCGAGACTGATCCTTGTTGTATCAACACTTGATTCGTGGAACATATTTAGCCAATTTATACTCTAAAATAATAAACAAAGAGAAGAATAACAATTCTCTTTTTCTCTACACACAGTCTTGGAGACTTTTTTTTTGCACACTCCTATTTAGGTAGGTTATGGTTTTGTGGCATTTATTTTCAAAATAAAATAACCACTCAATCTCATATTGATTTTATCACATAGTAACCACTACCTTATTTTTCTCCATTTTGGTTTTGTTATTTTTATTTTTCAAACGTTTTAGATCAATCACTCATCTTATCAGATTTATTAATTTAAACATAGATTTGAAAATATATTAATTAAGTCTATCTTAATTATATTATAGATGACTGAATAATATCATTTGTATTTTTGGTGCTAGCCAGCATAAAATACAATAACATTCCACATAAAAGAAAACTTATTAAATTAAACTATTTAATTTAATCTATAACATTTTCTCGTCCAACAAAAAACAAAACACTCATTAGTGTGTGACCCCGTATGTTCAATACTAAACCAGTAGTAAATTAACTCATTAATTTACTTATCAAGGTTGGTGTCTAACAACACTCCTTAACGACCGAATAGAAATGAAGTAACATCTTTTACTTTTAGAACCATTAGAAGATTAATATAATATTTCCTTCCATCTTTACAGTTTTTTGTTAACTCTAGAATATGATATGTTTGTCAAATTCGAATAAGGTAACGCATAAGACATTAGATGTCCGATATCAAAATATAACAAATAACTTATTAATTACTATGATAATCTCAAGTCTAAGGAAAATATATGTTTCTTCATAAGAATTTTCTATTGACAATTTAAAGGTAATATATTAACCATTAGGAATTCTCCTTTGAGTGAGTTCAATGGTCATATCTCTATATGCACCATTTATATGTTAATTTAATAAATGAGATCTATTAACATTTATCTAATAAAGACTACTACATATATTGATCTATCTGAATTAATAATGTCTTATGCTTAATAATCATACGATGAAGAACAATTTAGATTAAAATTATAAAAGATTTATTTCTCATTATTATAATATCTATTATAATAATAACTCTGTAATTTTAAGTAAGGACCTTTCATATTAATTATTTCAACAAACAATGAATATCATAACAAGATAATAATAAATACAACTTTATCATTATAAACATAGGAGATTGATTCTTGGATAATTGTAAATAAATTAACTATTCTAATTTAATTTAAAAATTAAATTAAATATGAAGCCTTAAACTTTTTTGAATGTCATATGTGAGGATTTGGGCTCTGTACTGGTCTCTCCAGTATTTAAAGAGGACCCCAACCCCAAATATGTAAGACATATTATAATAAAATACTTAACTTTGATGGCAAAGCAAAGTCATATTATAATAAGAGTAATTGCTTAAGACAAGTCAACTCTTTCTTGATCCCCTTGTAGAAAATTAGAATATCATATGTATACAAGACATGGCTAGGTGTACAAATAGATTTAGGACTAGCTACAGGACTTTGATTATGATCATTAACTAGCTTCATGATTCCCCTACTAAGCACATCTTCGGCAATACAAAAATAAAAGAGGAGAAATAAGATCCCTTTTCCTAACACCTCTGGTGTAGTGAAAGAAACCAACATTTGAGCCATTCAGATTGATATATAACTTAACTGATTAAAGGATAACTTTGATCCAATTATTGAAATTTTGACTAAATCTAAAAGCTTGAAGAGTGTCAAGCAGAAACTTCCAATCCATTATATCAAATTCTTTTTTGATATCAAGTTTGATGATCATGTTCCCACCAAAGGACTTGCGCTCGAGCAAGTTTATATCTTCTGAGGCCAAATAGATGTAGTCTTGGATCTCCCTGTCATGGATGAAACCTCTCTATTAAGTTGAAATGATTTTAGGGGAAATTATAGCAAGTCTATCAGCTAAAATCTTAGAGATGATTTTAAATTGAAAATTGGCTATGGCAATAGGTCTAAAGTCTTATATATGATCAGCACCCTTCATCTTGGGAATCAAAACCACAGTGTTAGAATTTAAGTTAGGAAGCAACCAACCCTGATTGAAGAATTTCTTCATAGATTTGCAAACTCCAACATGAACTATATCCCAGAAATTCTGGTAAAAACAACCACCAAAGCCATCCGGTCCAGGAGCACTATCACCATTCATAGCAAAAACAACAGCCTTGATTTCTTGATTAGATGGGATTGAGGTTAGCATAAAGTTATATGTATCATCAACCAGCTTAGGAACCACAAATTGAATTAGAGAGTTAGATGATGTGTTGTTTGGAACATCAAACAGACTCATATAATAATGCAGGACATGGCTTGTTATCTCATCTTGTTCTGTTAAAATTTGTTTTCCCGCTTTTAAAAGAGACATGGATTTAGTAGCTTTCCTCATCTTGTATATGTTGTGGAAGAAGCTAGTATTTCTGTCTCCAAGGGAGTGCCAATTAATCCTAGCCTTTTCCTTCCAGAAAGCTTCCTCCACATCCAAGGCTTTTAGTAAGTCAAATTGAGCCTTAGTCTCTTGCTTTAATAGATCAAGGCTAGGACTAGCTTCACTGATGAAAGCTTGAATGGAATCAACCTTCTCTAGAGATTTTTTCACCCTAAGGTGAATGTTACCAAATATATTGGTGTTCCAAAGTCTAAGCTCTTTCTTCAGAAGTTTGAGCTTTTGGCTAAGAATGAACATTGGGCAACCAACCGCATTTGTATTCCAAACTCTAGCAATCAGACTTCTACAACTAAATCTTTCAAGCACATCTTATGGAATCGAAATTGAGTGATCCTGGAAGAAGTTGAAGAAACAGAGTGCAACAACAAAGGGTGATGATGAGAAGGTAGTCTAGGCATAGTGTTGCAAGTGACCCGACTCCAAGCATCAATCCAATCCTCATTGCACATTGATCTATCCAACCTCTTTTCAATGAGAGCCACCCCTCTCCTTTTATTAGTCCAGGTAAATTGAGCTCCTAAAGTAGGCAAATGAATCTGATTATTCATATCAGTGAAAGATTGTAAGTCCATACAATAAGATCTAATAGGTAGACTAGAGCCTCTACACTCATTAGCTCCAAGAATAACATTAAAATCCCCTAAACAACACCAAGGGCCAGGTTGAGCTATCATAACATCTTGCAATTTAGACAATAAAGCCTTGAGACCATGGATGTGCTAGAGCTTGTTATCATTTCATAATTCAGTAGTAACTATAATAACATAAGGTAATGGGCCGTTTTTATCCCTAAGATATTGCATTTGTTGCATAACTATGAAGGCCCAGTTAACATGTTTGTTATACTCGACGGCATACATAATTTATAGTTCCATATCATTTATTTGAGAATGAATGGAAAATTTGAGAACTACAATATAACTAAAAAGGAACGCAGCAAATGATCATCTAGGGTGGGCTATCCAACACAAAGAATATTTCACTTTTTAACAGACTCAACCACTATCTTTTGTTTTTTACTCACAATTTACTCTTGAGGAAATCTACACAAAAGGTAGTGGAACCTCTTCTTGTCAAATTCATCCCAAGGACAATGGATTCCAAAGCCAAGTTCGGTGCCAATTTATGGTATTTTCATACTATAGTATAATATCCTAACTAATTCAGGGAAATAAGCATTTTTTACACAAAAATCTCAAAGATTATGTTGCCTATGGAATTCGGGAAATTGAAATTGAGCAAATTGAAAAGAGTTAAGTATACCATACTTGGCAACGATTGATTGTCGTCCTAAGATGTATACCTGAAACACTTCTCGTTATTTATCAGTTGAGAGTAGCCTTGACAAATCCAAGGGATTAGTCTCAGATAAACTCGGTTGACCTCTTTGAGAAGACCTTGAGCGAAGCTTCTTGGCTCTAGAAGAAGAAGCCATGGATTTGAGTTTTAAGTTTTAGAGTTTCTTAAGAATTAGAAATTGGGGAATTTTTATTTTAGGCACAAAACTTTAAATTTGTGGTTGGAAAGTGATTAAAATTGAAAATGTAGTATGTTTAGCCAGAAAATTTAAAATGTAGTATGTGTAGCCACAAATTGAAAATCGGTGAAGAAATGAAGATTATGGGTTTTTGGGGTGAGAGACTCGCAAGTTTGAGGAAGAAGAAGATGAAGTTCTGGAAATAATACGAAGGATCCTATATAAAGGATGACAAGAGTAATCAGATACTCTAGTAGAGTAATCGGTTATTTCGTCAATCAGTGTTTTAAGTTGCGGTTGCGGTCGCGGTAACGATTGCAGTTATTACGATTGCGGTCATTGCGGCCGTTGCAATGCGGATTGCGGCGTGAAAATATTATTAATTCACACAAAATTGAAAATATATCTTTAATTGTTGTAACTTATATTATATTTATAATCTACAATTTTCTATAGATTTTAATTCACTAACTTATAAATATAAGTTTATAACCTCTTCCCATTAAAATAAGTTATTTTATCAAATAAAAATATATCTTTTGTTTAGAGTTTAATATTTATGTATTAATAATGTAAGAATTTTATATATTGTCAGCATATTATTCATTATTCATGTGTTAACTATCATTGATTCTTATATAAAATAATACACATGAATGATAAATAATATATAGATTATATAAATTTGTTTACATTATCAAATATAAATATTAAAGTCTACATTTATATAAAATAAGCACACATAAAGTAGTGTTATGAGACTCATTCATATAACAATTCCATGTCTGCATAAATATACAAATGCAGGCCAATCAAAATAGTTCTGGGCTGGCCCAAAGGCACACCGAGTTAGCAACATATTGGTAAATTGGTGTTTAAGATTGAAACCTAAAAGCAACCCTAATTTATAACATGAGTACTTCAGTGTTGGTGGCTGTGGCGGTCTGTAGAGAGAATCGGCGGCGAAGATGTCTGGTGGAGCAAGAGTATTGAACGGGAAGAAGAAATGAGTGACCTTTGTCATAGAACGTGTCAAACCTGCGAAAGATAGTTGGAATTCTGAAATTTTTGTCCATTAATGTCTGTTGTGGTGGGTTGCGGTGGCGTTGCGGCTGCAACACGTTTATGTTGTCGTTTTCTTTGTGAATCTCAATCACAACGCAATTGCGGTACGTTGCCGTTGCGGAGCCGGCCGCAACCGAAATATTGCGGCCGGAACACCAGTTGCGGACCGCATTTTGAAACATTGCCGTCAATGAAAGCCCACTTTTCTTGAGGCGCTCATTAGGTAATCGATTACTCAACTTAGTAGTTGGTTACATGTAGGTTCTGTTTCATCCAGTAATTAGTTATTCCATTAGAGTAATTGGTTACTTCCCTCAACTTTTCGAATTTCAGGTAATTCAGTACCTTATATTTGGTTACCTCGCCAGGTAACTGGTTACACGCCCACAAAAATTTTAAAATTTATAATTTAAACATTCATAGAAACAAGTAGACATAAATATAATTTCATGAAGCAAACATCTATGAAGAAGCGACAACTCTTGTTTCATTGGCAGTGTGGTTACAGGGCTTCAATATGCTCTCATCAATTACAAAATCGTGGAAAGAAATGTCAAAGGAGTATAAAGAGATGATATTGAAAATATATTAGAAGTATTATAATTGTAGTTTTTGATTATTCTTGACTCAGAAAATGTAATTATTAATTTAATATTATTTTGTTTAAATATGTCATTGTTTAGGAAAAGTTTGAGTTTGTTCTTCCAATAAATGAGGAAACAAAAGAAATGTTGAAAAAACAATTGAAAGAGAAATGGGGAAATAGATGTTTGATTTAAAGTAAATGGTATTTGACCCCTAGTAAAACTAAAGAACTAGATGCATCTACATTACCTACTTCTAGGGGTGACCCAAGTAAATATTGTGATTTGGTTCATTACTAGTTTTCAAAAGATGGGAAAGTAAGTCATAAAGAAAATAGGCTATTGCTTACTATTATATTAATGCTTTAGTGCTAGGTTTTTTACACTACTAATTGTTGCATTCAATGTAGAAAATAAGTGAGATTATTAGACAATATTGTGGTGATTATGAAGATGTCTGAAGTGAGATTATTAGACAATATTGTGGTGATTATGAAGATGTTATGGGGACGAAAAGTCTTCCAAAACACATTGCGGAATATGTTTGTTTATATTATTAATCTTTATTAAGTAAATTGTTTTATGAAAGAATATGCATAAATTTTCATTTAATTGTTGAAAAATAAAGCTAAGAGAGTATTTCCTATTCCTAAAGTTATATATATTGGTACAGGAACTCGTAACGATGGAACAGTTCTTAATGAAAAGGCTCACTATGTGAGCACGGTTGTATATGGTATGCTTTAAAAGCACTTATGCGGATGCTGTTGTTTTTTGTCATACATACAACAACACCACCTCCAACAAACATTGCTATATATGTACATGACTTTTAACAATGTTCATTACAATGAGCGATGTTGATATGTCACATTTAACAACACTCATTTAACAACACTCATATTAAATAAGGCAAAATCTCTCACAGAAATTTTATCAAATACATAAGAAGCATGTTCAGTTCCATCATATTTATAAACCATGCATGAACTTGTCTCCGTTAGTTCAAATCCATTAACCTAGAATATTATATGCAATAATGAAAGGGACGAATGTGATGAAGATGTAGAGGACAAATCCATGAATTTGTACTCTCCCTTAACCAAAGAAATAAGAGGACAAAAAGATATGTTCAGATTCAATATAATAAGAATGAAATCAAAATTTACATAGAAAATATGGATGGAAAATAATAACCAAATACAAGAAATACATACAGAGATTGCAAGTTAAGTAAATCAATAACAACTTCACGTAGATTCAACCTTGACATTTCCTGTACAATAAAATAAGCACTTGAAGTATATGTAAATGCAATCAGCAAGAGTGAGCCACCACATTACCATCAACGTCGATATATGTAAAGATTTTCGACTTAAAGCATCAGCCACCACATTGGCCTTTCCCGAATGGGACTGCAGCCCAAAATCATAATCCTTAAGGAATTCCATCCACTGTCTCTGTCTCATATTCAATTCCTTTTGATCAAATAGGTACTTCAAACTCTTGTGGTCGCTGTATACCTCAAATCTCACGCCATAAAGGTGGTGTCTCCATATTTTCAAGGCAAAGACCACTGCAGCTAATTCCAAGTCATGGGTAGGATAGTTTTGCTTGTGCGTCCTCAACTGTCGAGAAGCATAGGCAACAACCTTCCCTTCTTGCATCAACACACAACCCAAACCTTGCTTGGATGCATCAAAATAAACACTGAAGTCCCGATAAGTACAAGGGAGAACCAAAACTGGCGCCGTAGTCAACCTTCATTTCAACTCTTGAAAACTTTCTTCACATCGAAGTGTCCACACATACGGTTCCCCTTTCCTAGTGAGTTTTGTCAATGGTAGAGCCAACTTCGAAAATCCCTCAATTAATTTCTGATAATACCCAGCTAAACCCAGAAAACCCCGAATTTCAGTAACCGACTTGGGCACTGCCCATTCCATGACTGCTTCAACCTTTGAAGAGTCGACAACTACCTCTTCCTTGGATATTACATGTCCGAGAAATTTAACCGATTCCAACCAGAAATCACATTTAGACAATTTGGCATACAACTGCTTCTTACTCGAGAGTTCTAGAACAATCCGCAGGTGTTCAGCATGTTCCTCTCGGCTTTTGGAGTAAACTAAGATGTCATCAATAAATACCACTACGAATGAATCTAAATACGGATGGAAAATCCGATTTATGTAGCCGGTAAATATTGATGGGGCATTAGTTACACCAAAAGGCATGACCAAATATTCAAAATGCCCATACATTGTCCTAAAAGCAGTTTTAGGAATATCTTCTGAATTCACCCGAAGTTGGTGGTAACCCGACCGAAGGTCAATCTTTGAAAACAACACCACTCCTCTCAACTGATCCATTAAGTCATCAATTCTAGGCAACAGATACTTATTCTTGATAGTAACCTTGTTCAATTGTTTGTAGTCAGTACACAACCGCATACTACCATCCTTCTTCTTAACCAACAAAACAGGCGCACCCCACGGCGAGACACTAGGACGAATAAACTTCTTTGCCAATAAGTCCGCAACCTGCTTTTTCAACTCAGCCAATTCTAACGGTGCCATCCTATAAGGAGCTATAGAGATGGGTCCCATTCCAGGTACCAAATCGATAGAGAATTCAACTTCTCTCACTAGAGGCAACTCCTGAATATCACCAGGAAATATCTCAGGAAACTCACGAACTATCAGAATATCCTCAATCTTGGGTTTCTCAATACCCTCCAGGGATGCCAACAACATAAACACGACCCCTCCCTCCTTACAGGAAGTCCTAACTTCCTTTGCCGATAACGACTTCATGTTAATACCTCATCATAAATCTCATCTAGATTCCCGAATACCACGGTCTTATCAGCACAATTATGCACCACACGATTTGCCGACAACCAGTCCATCCCCAGAATTATATCTAGCTGGGATAGTGGTAAGTAGATTAAATCCACGGTAAAAGTCCTACCATTCACCACCACTGGACATCGAGACACAACTGTCGACACCACCACAGGTACATCAGTTGGGGTGGATACGACCAAGTCGAAAGGCAACGACTCAGTTTGCAATTTCAGTCTATCCACGCATTCAATAGATACAAAGGAGTGTGTCGCTCCCGAATCAAACAACACTAAAAGAGGAATACCTGCCACCATGCAATTACCTTTTATCAGGCCATCTACACCCGATACCTCTGCACCACTCATGGTGAACACTCTGCCAGTAGATCGAGGACGTTCAACCCTCACCGCATTCACACTCTGCGGTAGCTTAGGACAATATCTTCTGGTATGCCCAACCTCCTTGCAGTGAAAACAAGTAAGCGTCGTTCTAAGGAATGAGTCACCGACATGAGTTCGGCCACATCTGCCGCACAAAGATGGAGAGCTCAACCATGATCCTCCGGCATTAACATGAGTCTTCAGCCCATGCGAAGTATGACTCCGACTACCCGTCGGAGGAGAGTAA